ACATTTTACCATTTGTAATCCCAATTCTTCACTGCATCCCACAAGAACCGGCGCAGCGGAGCGCGCCCACCTGTTGCTGAAGCGGCAGAGACTGATGTTAGCATCTCATATTATTTGTTGTTGATAAAAAGCCTGTATATGTGTTATCAAGATGATCTGTAAAGGATACCTAAATAGAGGGTGGATTGTCTGATACCGATTTCTCAAGGTGAAGCAAATTGCAAGCAATCCGAGCACTAAGGGTGCCCCTTTTGGTTTCTTCAGAGAGCATATGCACCAACAAAAGATCACCTTTGAGGGTGTGATAGATGCATCTTCTGTTAACTACCTAACTGTAATAACTGAGCACCTCAGTTTTGTGGATAACCCCTATCATAGAAGCCAGCGTGCCTATGTCTGTAACATTTTGAAGTTGACAGTATAAACATATGTTTAAAGGCTGGCATCCATTAAAAAAATGCTGCAACTATGATTTACACTCTGGAACATATGTCTGTAGCAAACTGATACACCATCAATGTGATTTGTAGATGCTATCATCAATGTGTATCCGAGGAAATGTGTGTATCCTACAAACGGGCATAAGGAATCAATAGATAGAATAGAGATCACAGTATATCTTCCATCGTATAAATTGTCAAACAGAAATTTTAGCAATAAATGGATGGATGTGAAAAAAATTGAAGCATTGTGGAAGCATGATTTACCTTGCATATGGTATTCTTTCTGTAGGAAATTTACCTTGCATATGGTATTCATTCCAATCTCGTTGGATCTGTCAGCAACAAAAGGGAAAATCCCAAGCCAGGATGGGAGCAGCGCTCCAGCAGCAACAACAATGAGGTATGATACAATAATTTTCCTAAAACATGATATGGAAGGGGCAAATAACATGAAGTTTTTGCCATATTTGTATGAAATGATAGCTGGTCTCAAAATAAATTTTAACAAAAGTGAAGTTATTACAATCAATGATGAAGAGAATCTAGGACAGACCTATGCTGAATTATTCAACTGCCAAGTTGGACTCTTCCCTATTAAGTACCTGGGAGTACCGGTTAGTCCAAGTCGTTTACATGTAAGGGATTGGTTACCACTTGTTGATAAAAGCTTGAAACGTTTGGATGTTTGGAAAGGTAGCTGTATGTCCATCGCGGGTAGGTCCACACTGATCAGTTCTAGTCTCAACAATTCTACTATATACCACATGTCAGTTTACCTGTTGCCTAAAACCATAGTGAACAAAATGGACAAGATCAGGAGATCCTTTTTTTGGCAAGGAGGGGGACGAAAAGAAAATATCATTTGTTGAAGTGGGAAAAAATATGCAAGAACAAGAAAAAAGGTGGTTTGGGAATCAAAAATTTGAGGAAAATGAATGTTAGCTTACCCTGTAAGTGGTGGTGGAAGTTGGAAAAAGAAGATGGGTTGTGGCAAAGGATAGTCAGATATAAATATTTAAGGAATAACTCAATCCATAATGTTTCACATAAACTGAATGACTCTCATATCTGGAGTGATTTACTCAAAGTCAAGGAGGTTTATTTGCTAGGCAGGGACGTTAGCATTAAGAATGGCTGTTATACTCGTTTCTGGAAAGATGCATGGTTGTACCAGCAACCTTTGTGTGAGATTGCTCCTGTACTTTTTGCCCTGTGTGATCTTAAAGATGTTATGGTTGATCAGGTTAGGAATGAGGTCTCTATAATCACTTTTCGTAGATGGTTACCTGAAGATCTTAGATTGCAATGGGAGAAAATTTTGTCTGATATCTCAACCTTTAACTCTGGTAATGGCTCTGATATGGTTTTGTGGTCTTTAGAAAAGAACAATAAATTTTCTGTGAAATCAATGTATAATGCCTTAACTAGGAGTGATGCTGGGATTTATCATAAGACACTGTGGAAGGGAAAGATCCCTGCTAAAATTAAGATTTTTATGTGGTTACTTATGAATGATGCTATACTGACAAAAGACAATCTTCTTAAAAGAAAATGGCAAGGAGATCCGACATGCTACTTTTATGATGAACCCGAAAGTATTTCGCATCTTTTTTTCCATTGCCATGTTGCAAAATCAGTATGGGCAATTGTGGCTAAGTGTTTTGGAGCTGATACTGTTCCTGGGAACCTAGAGCAAAGCTGGAGATGGTGTGACAGATGGTTACCTCTTGGTAAAGAGTATCATGTTCTAGGAGTTTCAGCTATTTGTTGGGCAATTTGGAAGTCACGTAATAAAGCATGTTTTGACAAAATCATTATCAAGAGTCCTCTAGATATTATCTGTCATATGTGTGCGCTTATGAAATACTGGGCAGGTCTCTTTGCTGAGCCGAACAAAGAGCAACTGATCGAAGGTATCAACACGATGCTGCGCTTGGCAAACAGGATCTTGAAGCGCCAGAGGGAAGAGCAGGATGATGCAGGACGCATCCTCGGTGGAGATCAGGATGGGCAAGATGATACTCCAGCTTAGAAGGCTTCTTCAGGATGGAATGCTGCTTCGTGGAGTTGGACGCCGGCTCCTTCACTTTTGGTCTCTGGGACTTGTTTTGGTCTGGTGTTGAAGCAGCTAGATTCCTGGATGTGTTATACAAACTTGTAAGGGTGATGTTATACTGACCGTTGGTGGTCTTAGGTTCGCTTTGTGATGGTTGTCGTTGGCTCTGAGCCAGAGTAGTTGTGCACTTTCTCGCTTCTTCCTGTTATCTGTCTGTTTTCCCTCCAAACTTTATATTTCCGTTATGAAAGTAATGGGACTGGGACTGGGAAGGTTTCTCGGTTGGGAAAAAAAAACAATGAGGTGTGGAACTCTAGATAAGAACCTCAGTATGGCGAAACCAAAGAAAGAGGGAGGAGGGAGGGAGAGGTTGTACCCTGATTGTACGAAGCTGGATGTAGAGACCAGGTGGCGGAAGGGACGACGACGGGGAGATTGGCCGTGAGCAGCTGGCCCTGAACCGCCGGCTCTGCGCACGCCACCCACGGCATCCATGGTCAGATGATTTTCTTGGAATCTGAAAGTATAAATAAGTAAGATGAAGGAAGACAACCTGCGTCAGAAATTGTGTCAAAAAATACTTGCATAAAAAGGTGGCAGCAGTAGCGGTGTAAGACAGCTAAAATTGTTAATTCACCTTTACTACCTAATCTATATGTCTCATAGTAGACCAATGTTGCAAATCACTATAAGACATGAATCTGTATAGCGGAGCCTCAACAAAATAGCATGATAGTTAAAAAGAACAACCTGAAATGTCACTTTCCTTTGTTCCTTGTGACAGCTAAGATCGTATTTATTTCGGACTAAGCACCTGAATGCACTCAGACTCGATGGAACAACAATTTTGAACTGAAAAATGAAACTATTTGCCCCAAAACATACCACACGATGACCCGACCTTGTGTTCCAGCGATATACTGCTCATGTGCATTCCATCGAACAGGTTGCAGGCAAGTACTGGAGAGGACGCCATGGCCACGTCTGCATACTCGATCCTCGCACGCAGCCGCCAAGGACAGTCGCTGCATCCAGGCATGCAAGCGCCGGCAGGCCCTGAGACTGCATCAGGAAGGAAGGGGGCGACGTTCCCAGCGGTTGAGAGCGGCGGAGGCGGCGGCACTAGCACGGATAAAGGGCGAGGCGATGGAGGGAGCGTTGCAGGCAAGTACTGGAGAGGACGCCATGGCCACGTCTGCATACTCGATTCTCGCACGCAACCGCCAAGGACAGTCGCTGCATCCAGGCATGCAAGCGCCGGCAGGCCCTGCGACTGCATCAGGAAGGAAGGGGGCGACGTTCCCAGCGGTTGAGAGCGGCGGAGGCGGCGGCGCTAGCACGGATAAAGGGCGAGGCGACGGAGGGAGCGAGGAAGAGGTGACGGAGGGAGCGAGGGAGAGATGACGACGTGGAGAAGGCTGAGCTGGTCGATCTGTTGATGGCGGACTGGTGGTCCCAGCGGCCGAGTAAGCCGGTACTCATTCATCAAAGTAACTGCCGGTAGGCGGTAAGAATTGGCAGCAACACGTCATTCGCAGGCCACGCGGATGGCCAGTGAAGCGCGTTTTATTCACGGCTGAAGATCATCTAACTAACTACTCAATCCATCCTAAATTATAAGACGTTTGATTTTTTTACATCAAATTTGACTACTCGTCTTATTCAAAAATTTGTGTAAAATATCACTTCTTTCGTCGTGGTTTGATTTATTAATAAAAATTCTTCAAGAATGACTTAAATTTGACTATATTTGCACAAATTTTTTTCAATAAGACGAGTGGTCAAACTTAAGACAAAAAAAATCAAATGTCTTACAATTTAAAATAGAGAGAATAATATCTTACAGAAATAATATACAACACACATGTGCTTTAACAAAAAAAAAAAATATAGATTTTTTTATCCCTCACTCCCCCTCTCTTTTGTCATGCCCCGTCCCCCACTGAACCGTGTCGCCCACGCCTCCGTGGCCGGGGCTCGAGCGGAGCCGCCAATTGTGGACGGTGGCGAGAGTGATGTCACCGTGCTCTTGGACCATACCGTGCCTTTCTGCCAATCCTGCCACTCTTGGACGATGGCCTTGTCGTTGATAGCCCCTGCTCGCTGAGCCTGTCGTAGGTCCAGTTCCAGTCTTCCAGAGCGACGCGTCCCTGAGCCTACGCACGTCGTGGCGGTGACACATGTGTTTTACCGATATGTCCTTTTGTTATTGCATAGAAAAAAAATTATTTCTTGTGATATGGGGATCTGTGATCTTGTGATTTATGATTGTCTGGAGGTAAAAGAAGGCTAGAGGTAGAAAGAAGATGGAGACGGTTGAATCTTAATTCTATGATAAAAAAAATCATGTGTTAAAACTGTATAAAATATATAGTTGTTGGTAGACATACTCTCAATATCTTATACAGGCGATCGACACGCCAATTATTAGCACTTGGTGCATGCTGTTGAGCACTTGAGCGCCCACCTCCCCGTACGTCTAGCACGAGCAGTGGTCGGCTTCACACGGAGATGGAGTCGTTGGCGGCGCCACCAAACGTGAGCCCCGACCCTTGCAGCACGCCGTCGACGATCTCGTCCAGCCGCGCCGCCATCTCCGGTGTCAGGTGGTTGCGCCAATCCCCGGCCGCGCCTTTGCGGAAGAAGGACGCATTCTCGATGCCAAGGATCGTCGTGCCGCTCCGGTTCCCCTTCGACCGCTTGAGACTGTCCAGGCTGCAGAGCTCAACGACGGCGTCCACCGTGCCCGCCGTTTCCTCCTCCACGGTAAACGGGCAGCCCATGAACTCGGCCAGTCTCTTCACGTTGGTCCAGGGGTCCCGGAGCATCTCCTCGTACTGGAGGAAGAGCACCTTGTCCGGCCGCCTCCTGCTCTCCTCCCAGTACCCGAGGACGTGGAGCCACTGCGGCCCGCCGACGCAGCGGCCCGCACAGAACAGCTCAAACGCGTCTTGGAGCGGGTACGTCGGCGGAACGTCGTCGTCTTCGCCACCGGCTCCCTTGGCGGTGGCGGCCGTGTGCTTCTTCATGAAGAGCCACCCGGAGACGAGCGCGTCCTTGGGGTCCCGACAGACGTACACGACGCGGCCGCTGCAGCTGTCTGCCACGACGCGCTCCGGCAGGAGGCTGTAGGGCAGGTGGGTGGCGAGCACCCGTGGCGAAGGGAGCGCCTCGAACACGTCCTCCTGTGCTCCGCCGGTGCTCTCGGAGAGCGCGGAGGGCAGCTCGAAGAAGCTGACGCAGTCATGGGGGTTTCGAAGGCGGAGCGGGTGGCCGGGGTCCGACGGCGGGTGCTGCGCCCTGTTGAGCGTGGCGAAGGCGAGCGCCTTGAGCCACGTCGTGCCGGACTTGGGGAAGCTCGCGAGGAAGATGTCGTCGGGCCTCGGCTCGAAGCGCGTGTGCACGGCGGCCACGCCGGACAGGATCATCTCCGGGAGCCAGAAGCCGCTGAACTGACGGAGCGGGACCGTTGGGCATCTCGTCTCGAGGGGTAGAGTGGGGATGAGCTTCGCCATGTCGCCGAACGCCGCAGCCCATGACCGGCGTCCCTCGGTAGGCGCATCCATTGTGCGTGCCCCGGGCAAATAATGCTAAGTTAGCTAGCGACGCTGCGCCTGCGCGAACATATGCATGCGCGCGCACAGGATATGAATGGTCCACCATTTTCCTGGATCACTTTTAGTGTTTTACAAGTTTTTCCAAAATCCTTTCAAGATCTATAATAATGGAGATTAGGTGACTAGTGTTGGGGCACCACCGTCCAAAGGCTCCAGGCTGCTCATCTTGCTGTTGTTAATTTTGATCAGATATGATAAAAAAGATAAATTCTACAACTACTAGACATCTCAATAGACAACAGGGGCACCAGGTTAATTCTCACCTGATGCCTTAGGAAAAAAAGACAAATCTAAACATCCTCAAAATAATCAAAAACATTTGGTGACTCTAATCGTCATCACCGATAATAGCCATTCAACCTATTGTAATTTGTAAAAAAGTTACTCAGCTCTAACATTATGAAAATACATAAATTAACCCCTTAATTTTACATCTAGATTATCCATCTCTGTCATTATGGAAAATAATTCAAATAACCATATAAATTGCCCACATATGTCATTATAAAAAATAATTTAAAATAATCCCCAAAATTTGAATCTAAATTACCATGTCACAAATCAAAATAACTCTCTAACATTACATATAAGTTACCCAGCTTTACTGTTATGAAATATAATTCAAATTAACCATTTAACCTTGTATCTAAATTACCCATATCTGAAAGATAATTTAAAATACGCCAATAATACTTTTATAGATGACCTACACTTGTCATTATGAAAGATAATGCAAAGTAACCTCCTTTGCACTCAACCTACCCATATATGTCTTTATAAAGATAATATAAAGTAATACGTTTATAGTTGTATCTACCTCAACCAAATAATATACAAAATTATATCTCAAATCTATATGTAAATACTAATATATGTTATAAAAAAACCAAGCAATATCTGTAAAGCACGAGACACATATATTTCTAAATTATGAACTTCTACAACCATAAAATCAAATAACAATAATGCTATTTTTCACCTTGTATACCAAGTAAGCATGTATAAGCCGGTACTCATTCATCAAACACTACCGGAGACGACTTCTTTGCCGAGTGTCCCAGACTTTGCCGAGTGATTTTTATCGAGCACTCGGCAAATAATAACACTCGGCAAAGACCAGGTTTGCCGAGTGTCGAGCACTTGGCAAACCAGAACACTCGGCAAAGGGCCGCCGCCGTTAACGGTCAGCAACCGCCGTTAACCCTTTGCCGAGTGTCTTATCCTGACACTCGGCAAAGTGGTGATTTACCGAGTGTCATTTTTTGACATTCGGCAAACCATTTTTTTTTTACTTTTGACCTCCAAACTTTTTCTATAGTCCTCATATAATACAATACCTGCTACTCCATGTTCCAATGTGGCACATTTCTCAGACTTTTTCTATATTTCTTTAATTCATTTCATTTAATTGAATTTTCTTGGATAATTTAAATTATAACCGCTAGTCATTCGAATAATGAAAAAAATGAATGGAAAAATGATATTCATGAAAAAATGTGAGGCCGATCTATGGAAAAATGTTATTCATGTTATGTTTTTAAATTCAATAAAAAGCATAATGTGAAAAATCATGAAACTTGTCTAGATGAACATACCATATTTGAACATCTTGTTCACGAAACATGACCACAAACTTGCACTCGAGATGTTTTTAAATTCAATAAAAAGCAAATGTTTGTCCAAAACAACTCATGAAACTTTCTCAAATTTTTATCACAACCTCCACATATGATATCATAACATCTTGACAAGTTTCATGATTTTTGGACATCGCTTGATAGAATTTTCGACCGCAAGGTCGTGGTCATGTTTCGTGAACAAGATGTTCAAAATTGAAGGTCTATCTCCGGATACGATCACATTATACTAAATAACATGAATATCATTTTTTCATTCATTTTTTTTCATTATTCGAATGACTAGCAATTATAATTTGAATCATACAAGAAAATTCAATTAAATTAAATAAATTAAAGAAATATAGAAAAAGTCCGAGAAATATGCCACATTGGAACATGAAGTACCAGGTACTGTATGAGGACTACACAAAAAGTTTGGGGACAGGAAGAAAAAAAATAAAAACAGTTTGCCGAGTGTCTAAGTTTGGCGCTCGGCAAAGGATCATCTTTGCTGAGTGCCAGGACGTATGGCACTCGACAAAGATTTTTTTAAAAAAAATTAAAAGCCCCTCTTTGCTGAGTGCCAGGCCGGGTGGCACTCGGTAAAGAATTTAAAAAAATTAATAAAATACTTTGTCGAGTGTCAGATAGGGGGCACTCGGCAAAGAATTTTTTTTAAAAACCTCAAATGGGGGATTTAACCCCGTCGGCCCAGCCGACCCACACACACCGCACACACGCACGCAGGCAGACCGCGCCAACGCCGCCCGCGGTCGTGCCGCCGGAGGAGGAGGAGAAAGAGAGGAGGAGGAGGAGGAGAGGAGGAAGGAGGATGAAGGAGGAAGAGAAGGAGGAGGAGGAAGAAGGAGGAAGGAGGAAGGAGGAGGAGGCACCCTAGCCACCGTTGCCACGTCCCCGGCGCTTCCCCAGCCGTCGCCTTGTCCACCGGCACCCTGGCCCCTTCACCAACGCCGCCCTACGACACCCACTAGGTATGCCCTACCATCATCGTCGTCGTAGTATTACTAGTAGTTGTGGTAGAGTAGCAGTGGTGGTAGTCGTAGGAGTCGTAGGAGTGGTTGTGACATTGTTATATATATGTGGTTAGATATAATCTTGTGCATGTCAGCCATCGTGTCGTTCATATATATGTGCATGTCGGTCATCGTGTAGTTGGTTTTCTTGCAAGTTTTGGAAACCTCACCGTGTAGGGGAGGTGCTGCCGAAATTTTGTATTAACAGTTTTATGTTTCTTTTTTTGCAGAGAAGAGCCTGTCGGAGCGGAGCCGGAGTACCTCGGCGACCCCGATCGCCTTCCTCGCTGCTGCGGGTCTGCCTGCATCGCGTCGCCTCACCACTGCACCGACCTGCCATGGCCCCGCTAGCCTGACTCCACCGCCATCCTAGGTATAACCCCTCTTTCCGTATCATGGTCGTAGATCACGTAACCCAGTTATGCGTCTCCCGTTTGAAAGAGATACGGTTGGAAATATGCAGATATTTCCATATCTAAAACCGTATTTGTTTTGAATTATCCACATTTTTTGGACAGCCCACGGATGCATAGGTGGGGTTAGTTTCCATGGTCTGCTCCGATCTGAGATAGAGTTTTGGCATCATCTAACTGTTGTTCTCCGGATACACACTCTCCCTGGCAGGACGTGTATTTGGAGAATAGCGGGGAGGTGCTGCCGAAATTCTGTCTCGGATAGGAGTAGAGCATGGAAACTAACCTCATCTATGGATCCTCGCGTGGGATTAGGACCTATCCTCACCTATTAGATAGTAGGAACATCGTGTAGATGCAATTGATGTTTATATTACTCGTCGCTATATATGTTAGAGGATGGAGGATCGTGAGTGGATGTACATGGGCCGCGCAAGTTAGGGTCAGGTCACCAATGAATGGATCGACAAGACCGATGCTTTCTTGGAATGGGCACTTAGCGTGGCTGCTAAAGGAGCGAGTAAAATTTGTTGTCCCTGCAGCAAATGTGCAAACAGGAAAAGACAAACGAAGAAGATCATGGAGGAACATCTTTGGAAGAATGGATTTACAGCAGACTATACCCGGTGGGTCTACCATGGTGAAGCCGATCGTATTAGAGAGGAGGTGGTGAGACCACACGTCGAGGATTATGATGCTGATGCCGGGGTAGCAGACATGTTAAATGACTATCACGAGGCACAGTTCGTTGAAGGACATATGGAGGAGCCAGAGGCAACCGCAAAGGCGTTCTACAACATGTTTGCCGTAGCACAAAAACCCCTTCACGGCCAGACAAAGGTTTCTCAACTAGATGCCATTGGAGGCATAATGGCGTTAAAGTCCTAGTATAGCCTGAGTCGAGATGCCTTCGATGGTATGTTGACAGTTATTGGTAGCCTGCTTCCTGAGGGTCACCTTCTGCCAAAGAGCATGCACGAGTCACAGAAACTCCTTCGTGCACTTAAGATGTCGTATGAACAGATACATGCTTGCCCGAAGGGGTGCGTCCTATTTAGGAAAGAATACGTGGAAGCAAAGTACTGTCCAAAGTGTAAATCCTCTAGGTTCCTAGAGGTAGATTCTGGTGATGGCCAGAAGAGGCAGCTTGACATTCCCGTGACAATCCTACGGCACCTTCCGTTCATACCGAGGATCCAACAGCTATACATGACCGAGGAATCCGTGAAACAGATGACATGGCACAAAAATAGCAAATGATACAATCCTGACAGGATGCTACATGCATCCGATGGTGAAGCATGGACCCACTTTGATGGCATTCATCATGAGAAAGCTAAAGAGGCTCGTAATGCATGTGTTGCGCTGGCAACAGATGGGTTCAATCCTTATGGAATGATGGCTGCCCCATACACAGGTTGGCCCGTGTTCATTATCCCCATCAATCTCCCCCCCCCCCGGCGTATGCTTTCAATGACAGAACGTATTCTTGTCATTGATAATTCCTGGACACCTAGGGAATAATATTTGTGTGTTCATGGAGACTGTGATTGATGAATTGGTCCGTGCTTAGGAGGAAGGGGTATGGACATATGACCGAGCTACAAAGAAAAACTTTAAAATGCATGTTTGGTACCACTACTCCCTGCATGATTTCCTGGCGTATGGGATATTCTGCGCCTGGTGTGTTCACAGGAAGTTCCCATGCCCAGTATGCAAGGAAGGCCTGAGGTTCATTTGGTTGCAGAAGGGTGGCAAGTATTCATCGTTCGACAAACATCGACAATTCCTCCCTCTTGATCATGCATTCAGACGAGACATCAAGAACTTTACGAAAGGTGTCATAGTGACAGACCCTGCACCACCGATAATGACTGGTGCCG